AAAGAGCAAATTATTCAAAAACTCCATTACAAGTCCCATACTCAAAACCTTACTTCAGTAAAAGTTCACAAGTATTATCAGCAGAACGTACCTAAAGAAATAAAAGTACTAAATGTTTTGGGTATTATAAAATATGACATTATTCAGTTTTGTATCGCTAATGAATATATAAAAAGGTTTAAAGTAGAGACACTACATACTGATATACACCTGAACATCAGCAGGAGAGGACTCTTTAAAGTAGAGACACTACATACTGATATACACCTGAACATCAGCAGGAGAGGACTCTTTAAAGTAGAGACACTACATACTGATATACACCTGAACATGTAGTGTCTCTACTTTAAAGAGTCCTCTCCTGCTGATGTTCAGGTGTATATCAGTATGTAGTGTCTCTACTTTAAAGAGNAANACTGATATAAACCTGAACATCAGCAGGAGAGGACTCTTTAAAGTAGAGACACTACATACTGATATACACCTGAACATCAGCAGGAGAGGACTCTTTAAAGTAGAGACACTACATACTGATATACACCTGAACATCAGCAGGAGAGGACTCTTTAAAGTAGAGACACTACATACTGATATACACCTGAACATCAGCAGGAGAGGACTCTTTAAAGTAGAGACACTACATACTGATATACACCTGAACATCAGCAGGAGAGAACTCTTTAAAGTAGAGACACTACACCTGAACATCAGCAGGAGAGGACTCTGTAAAGTAGAGACACTACATACTGATATACACCAGAACATCAGCAGGAGAGGACTCTTTAAAGTAGAGACACTACATACTGATATACACCTGAACATCAGCAGGAGAGGACTCTTTAAAGTAGAGACACTACATACTGATATACACCTGAACAAGTTTTAAACATACATCAGTTTATCGTCAGCATAGTATGAAACAGACAGTAGTCTAACTTCAGTGTATTGTGAGAAAGACAGTATCCTCACCACGTCGCTGAAGATCCCCGGTCTCATGAGGTTTGTCAGCTTGGCGGCCTGGAAGACGTCGAGCGACCCTTCGACCTCCAGCTGCTGAACCAGAGAGGACAGAGTGCAGAACGTCCCGGCTGTGACTCCTCCCACACTGAGGGGAAAGAAACACAGATATCTTCAGTCAGAACACAACATATGAGCATGAGTACTGATCCTGACCCTTTGGCTGCTTTGTGCATGAAAGCTGCTACAAATCAAGTTTATATTATATATTATAAATATCAGAGCATTCAAAACCTGTTAAATGATATTGTACTCACTCATCGTGCACCACGGTGGGTCCGTCCTTGGCGGCGTTCTCCTCTCTCACCAGCTTCAGGAGTTCGAAGGTGTTGCTGATGGGACTGTCAGGGTTCGGCCAGCAGGAGGCGCTGTAATGTTTCACCTCCAGAGCGAAGTCATCCTGTCCAGCAGAGAGGGCAAAAGTACACACATCCTTTACTCAAGTAGAAGTACAGATACTCGTGTTTAAAAATACTCTAGTAGAAGTACTGACTAAACTTCTTCACTCAAGTAGAAGTAAAGATGTATGGGCCCGTCAACGCTAAGCCAATAGGAGAAGACTACAGTTGATAAAATGAGAAGCCAGCTGTTAGCCGGTCTCTTTCCCAGCTGATCCCAAGCCAACGGAGCTCCATCCAGCGGGGACCATTTTGCAATTTCATTGTATCATTGTTTAATTAAACGCTGTTAACTTGTAAATAAGCTTCCTGGACTCTTTTCAGCTAACCCTGGGCTCAGAACTAAAAAAACCTACAGGAACTAACCTGAGTTGCTTCCAGGACGAACTCCCGCACCACCAGCATGTCTTCGTTGGTCAGACAGATGTTGTTCTCACTCCTCTGGGAGACCGTGAACATCTGGTAGCTGATCGGGGCTCCTTTACGGGGCCAGATGGCACTCTGCTCCACCTCCGCCTCCGTCTAACAACAACAACAACAGTCAGATTCAACTTTAATCCAACAGCAAACACACTACAGGTTAGAAAGAAACGTTCAAGTCTTTGCATAGTATGTTGAACAAAAATAATCATAGTAAAGCCTGGTGCAAAAAAGCTAGAATAGTATGTCTGAAGAAAAGTCAGTAAATCAAAAACATTTATGGTATATTTTGTGAAAATAGTTCATAGTATCCCAAAAAAAGTCATAGTATATCATATTGTATTTATTTGGAGTATTTATAAACGTGTTATTAAAACTAAACACATCTTTTATTTTGCAGCTGATCCGAAGCTCAGGGAGGACGCGACCCTTAATCTCAGTCCTAACTAACTATCACTATACTATTCAACCTAAACTTGTGTTTTTTACTAAATCTGCCACGATTTTTTAATTTATTTCAATACAATACGATAATACTTTAATGGTCAGATCAAGTCTGAAATGCTCCTTGCATCACAGCAGCTCCATGTGTAACATCAACAGACAAACATCAAGACACAATGCATGAACAACAAACAACAAACATTTAACACAACAGCAGCATCATTGAGAGGAAAGCTGCTCAAAGAGCCTTCAGCGTGCATCTGATCTGGATTCAGCTCTGTGTTCACTGAGAGGACAGACTGGAGCACAAAGGATGCTTCAGGCTGACTTGAGTGATCTCCATTAGATGGTAGCAGTTCAGATTCTCTGTTCAGAGCATGCTTTGGGTCCCAGATGATGTTGGACAGCCTCTCAGGTTATTATGGTCTGCTGAGTCAGAAAGTCTCTGACAGGGTGACCAACAATCTTTGAGCAGATTTTTAACAGGTGGAGCAGTTTTGATTTTAAAGCTGTTGACAAACACTTGTACCAGGTAGCATAGCAGTATTGCAGTAATACAATTGTATATTTGTTAAAAGTTAGAGGCATATTTGTTTAATCTGAACAAAACCAATCTTGCTTTTTCCCCCTTCTCCAAGTCTTTATGCCAAGCTACGCTACGCTAGGCACTCCCTGACTGTCCTAACTGAACATCTTGCTTTAAAACGATAATTCAATATAATACATTGGCATGAATAAAGTGCTTAACTCTTCCTGTTTAGAAAGACTTTGAATACAGCTGAAAAATCCTTCTTCCTCACCTGGCCCGCCCCCGGCAGGGACACGATGACCGGGGCGTTGTGATCCCAAATCATCCTCCAGAAGTCCTTTATGGTGTCAGGCAAGGGATGCTGGGTAATGATGAACTCGCTGCTCTGCCTGTAACCCTGCAGGACGAGAGTCACGCTTTATTTCTGTCACTTTTATGGAGTTTAATGAAGTTAAATACATTTCATTTCTGTCTACTGTCAAATCTTCATAGTGGAAATAAACTAAGGAGCAGATACTGTACCTAATTAAAAGGTTGGAGAGCTCTTACTTTACAAGTTGTTATACTTCTACTCTACTACTAGTTTGAGGTAAATGTACTTTTTACTCTTCCGCATTTATCTGACAACCTTAGATACTGCAGGTTCAAATGATCAATACAAAAATAATGAAGAAGACACCTGGAAGTATAACAAGTCATTACATTAAGCTCTACTTTTACCAGCTGCAAACTTAAGATGATGAAAACATGCATTTATCACTTATTAGATTCTATATATCATTCGGAAATTGACCATTCTGCGCGATGAGTACTTTTATATTTCGTACTTTTAGGTCAATTATGTTGTTTTCGTTGTACTTCTACTTGAATCTGAGTACTTTTTCTATCTCTGCAGGTCTGACAAAGTACTGGTGCTAATATTGCAACCAATCAAATCCATAAGAAACACATTTTATAGCTACTGGTAAAGAGTCAGTACAACAACTTCTTAGGAAACACTTTTGTTGTCCGTGTTCGAGACAGGAAGGCTGTTTCAAACTTGGATAAAAAATCCTGCGTTACAAAAACTCTACATTTTGCCAAGTATATGTTTCTAATATCGAGTCAGAATATATCTCTACAC